AGAGTAGGCGTTTAATCAGAGTTAGGAGTTTTTCCTAGCTGTAGAAAAGCGCCAAATTTTCAATAAAAAAAGTTTCTTCATGCTGCTAGAAGTTTCTATTTTTGTTTTGTTTAGGCTATTTGTTTGAGTTTTGAAGATTCATCTTGCAAAATTATATCTAGTCAAAGAATAGGCGATTAATCAGAGCTGGGAGTTTTTCCTAGCTGTAGAAAACGTCTACAATTCAATGAAAAAAGTTTGTTCATGCTGCTAGTAGTTTCTATTTTTGTTTTGTTTAGGCTAGGTGTTTGAGTTTGGAAGATTCATCTTCCAAAATTACATCTAGTCAAAGAATAGACGTTTAATCAGAGTTGGGAGTTTTCCTAGCTGTAGAAAAGCGTCCACATATCAATGAAAAAAATATTCTTCATGCTGCTAGTAGTTTCTATTTTTGTTTTCTTTAGGCTAGGTGTTTGAGTTTGGAAAATTCATCTTCCAAAATTAGATCTAGTCAAAGAATGGGCGTTTAATCAGACTTGGGAGTTTTTCCTAGCTGTAGAAAAGCGTCCACATTTCAATGAAAAAAGTTTCTAAATGCTGCTAGTAGTTTCTATTTTTGTTTTGTTTAGGCTAGGTGTTTGAGTTTGGAAGATTCATCTTTTAAAATTACATCTAGTCAAAAAATAGGCATTTAATCAGAATTGGGAGTTTTTCGTAGCTGTAGAAAAGCGCCCACATTTCAATAAAAAAGTTTCTTCATGCTGCTAGTAGTTATTATCTTTGTTTTCTTTAGGCTAGGTGTTTGAGTTTGGAAAATTCATCTTTTAAAATAACATCTAGTCAAAAAATAGGCATTTAATCAGAGTTGGGAGTTTTCCTAGCTGTAGAAAAGTGCCCACATTTCAATGAAAAAAGTTTCTCAATGCTGCTAGTAGTTTCTATTTTTGTTTTGTTTAGGCTAGTTGTTTGAGTTTTGAAGAATCATCTTCCAAAATTACATCTAGTCAAAGAATAGGCGTTTAATCAGAGTTGGGAGTTTTCTTAGCTGTAGAAAAGTGCCCACATTTCAATAAAAAAGTTTCTTCATGCTGCTAGTAGTTTCTGTTTTTTTTGTCTAGGCTAGGATTTTGAGTTTGGAAGATTCATCTTCGAAAATAACATCTGGTCAAAGAATAGGCGATTAATCAGACTTGGGAGTTTTTCCTAGCTGTAGAAAAGCGTCCACATTTCAATGAAAAAAGTTTCTAAATGCTGCTAGTAGTTTCTATTTTTGTTTTGCTTAGGCAAGGTGTTTGAGTTTGGAAGATTCATCTTTTAAAATTACATCTAGTCAAATTATAGGCTTTTAATGAGAACTGGGAGTTTTCCCTAGCTGTTGAAAAGCGCCCACATATAAATAAAGTTTCTTGATGCTGCTAGTTTTTTCTCTTTTGGTATGTTTAGGCTATGTATTTGAGTTAAGAAGATTCATCTTTCAAAATTACATCTAGTCGATAAATATGGGTTTAATCAGAGTTGGGATATTTGTCTAGTTGTAGAAAAGCGCTCACATTTCAATAAAAAAGTTTATTCGTGCTGCTAGTATTATTTTTGTTTTTTGGCTAGGTGTTTGAGTGTGGAAGAGTTATCTTTCAAAATTAAATCTAGTCGAAAAATATGGGTTTAATCAGAGTTGGGAGTTTTGTTCTAGCTGTAGAAAAGCGCTCACATTTCAATAAAAAAGTTTATTCTTGCTGCTAGTAGTTTCGATTTTTGTTTTGTTTTGGCTAGGTGTTTGAGTTTGGAAGATTCTTCTAAATCTAGTCAAAGAAAAGGCGTTTAATCAGATTTGCGAGTTTTTTCTAGCCGTAGAAAAGCGCTCACATTTCAATAAAAATTGTTTCTTCATGCTGCTAGTTTCTGTTTTTGTTTTGTTTAGGCTAGATGTTTGAGTTTGGAGATTCATCTTTCAAAATTACATCTGGTCAAAAACCAGGCGGTTGATCAGAGCTGATAGTTTTTGCTAACTAGAAAAGCGCCCACATTTCAATATAAAGAAAAGGTTCTTCATTCTGCTAGTAGTTTCTATTTGTTTTGTTTAGGCTAGGTGTTTGAGTTTGAAAACGATTGTAGTTTCGAAAGTGGAATTTAAATTTTGGAGTTCCAGCGGAATAAAAACTTTCGTTCATTACTCTTTTCCAAACTTCGATTGGCTATGTTTTAGTTAGGAAGAATCTTTTTTCAAAATAACATCTATGGGCGTTTATCCTGAATTGAAATGATTTGTTTTTGCTGTACAAAAGCGTCCCTTGATACCACCAAATATTTGTATTCATGCTGCTAGTAGTGTTTTGATGCTTTGTTTTGGTGTAGGTTAGATGTTTTTAAGATTCATCTTTCAAAGTTACATTTTGTCAAAGTATAGGCGTTTAATCAGAATTGAATTTTTTCTGGCACCAGCAAAGCGTCCAAGTTTCACGATCAATTGTGGTTTCAAGCTGCTAGAACTTTCTGTTACTGAGTGCTTCTGTTTAGGCTACGCGTGTGAATTTGGAATATTCGTTCTCCAAAATTACATCTAGTCAAAGAATATGCCTTTAAACAGAGTTGGGAGTTTTTCCTAGCTGTAGAAAAGCGTCCTTTGATACATGCCAAAATTTGTATTCATGCTGCTAGTAGTTTTTTTAATGCTTTGTTTTTGTGTAGGGTAGGTGTTTGAGTTTGTTAGATTCATCTTTTAAAGTTACATTTTGTCAAAGTATAGGCGTTTAATCAGAATTGAATTTTTTTTTGGCAACAGGAAAGCGTCCAAATTTCACGATCAAATGTTGTTTCAAGCTCCTAGAACTTTCTGTTACTGATTACTTCTCTTTAGGCTAGGCATTTAAGAGTAATGAACGTAGTGAAGACTTTTTTGTAGGTGTTTTTCATATTTTTTTTGTTTTTTTTTTATGGAAAAGTCTTAAAAAACTCTAATAACTATAGATGTGCATTCACATTTATTGATGCACTTATAAATGCACTTAGGTACATCTGCACTTTGTGAGTTCAATTGAAGTTCAACGGCTGAAAGTGACGTAAATAGCACTTCTCAAATACAAACATGGAAATGATGCAAAAAAAGGTAAACGATTTCTAGTTTCGAAAGTGGAATTTATCTTTTAGATTTCCAGCGGAAAAAAACTTTCGTTCATTACATTTTTCCAATCTTCGATTGGCTATGTTTTAGTCAGGAAGAATTGTTTTTCAAAAAAAGATCTAGGCAAACTATGGGCGTTTATCCTGAATTGAAATGATTTGTTCTAGCTGTAGAAAAGCGTCCCTTGATACATGCAAATATTTTTATTCATACTGCTAGTAGTTTTTTCAATGCTTTGTTTTTGTGTATGGTAGGTGTTTGCGTTTGTAAGATTCATCTTTCAAAGTTACGTTTAGTCAAAGTATAGGCGTTTAATCAGAATTGAATTTTTTTTGGCACCAGGAAAGCGTTTAATCAGAGCTGGGAGTTTATCCTAGCTGTCTAGAAGCGTCCACTTTTCAATGAAGAATTTATTTTTTTGCTGCTAGTAGTTTCTATTTTCGTTTTGCTTAGGCTAGGTGTATGAGTTTGGAAGATTCATCTTCTAAATTTGTATCTAGTCGAAGAATAGGCATTGAATCAGAGTTGAATATTTTTCTGTTACTGATTGCTTTTGTTTAGGCTAGGCGTTTGAGTTTGGAAGAAGAGTCTTTCAAATTTCATCTAGGCAAATTATAGGCGTTCATTCTGAGTCGAAATTCTTGCTCTAGCTGTAGAAAGAGCCTTGTGATACTTGCAAATATTTGTTTCTTTCTGCTATTATTTTTTCCAATGCTTTGTTTCTACTTAAGCTTGGTGTTGGAGTTTGGAAGATTCATTTAGTCACATTGGAATTTAAATTTAGTCAAATTATAGGCGTTTCATAAGATTTGAGCTTTTTTAATTTTAGCTCTAGCAAAGCGTCCAAATAACAGAAAAAATGAGTTTCAAGCTGCTAGAAACCTTTATTACTGCTTGCTTCTCTTTAGACTAGGTGTTTGAGTTTGGAAGTTAAATCTTTCAAAATTACATCCTGTCAAAGAATAGGCGTTTAATCAGAGTTGGAAATTTTTCCTAGCTGTGGAAAAGAGCCCATATTTTAATAAAAAATGGTTATTCATGCTGCTAGTAGTTTATTTTTTTGTTTCTTTTTTCTTTAGGCTAGGTGTCTGAGTTGTTAATATTCGTCTTTCAAAAAAATTTTATTCAAAGAATAGGCGTTTAATAACAGTTGGGAGTTTTTCCTAGCTGTAGAAAAGGTCCCAATTTTCAATAAAAAAGATGAGTCATGCTGCTAGTAGTTTCTATTTTAGTTTTCTTTAGACTAGGTGTCTGAGTTGTTAAGATTCATCTTTCAAAATACTTTAAGTCAAAGTATAGGCGTTTAATCAGAGTAGGAATGTTCTAGCTGTAGAATGTTCTAGCTGTAGAATCGCGCCCACATTTCAATGAAAAAAGTTCGTCCCTACTGGTAGAAGCTTTTGTTTCTGTTTTGCTTCTGTTTAGTTCAGGTTACGTGCTTGAGTTTGGAAGATTCATCTTTCAAAATTATATCTAGTCAAAGAATATGCATTTATTCAGAGTTGAAATTTTTTTATTCTAATGCTCTAGGAAAGTGTCCATCTAAATAACACGAACAAATGTTTCAAGCTGCTAGAACTGTCTTTTACTGGTTGCTTCTGTTTAGGCTATGTGCTTGAGTTTGGAAGATAAATTTTTTCAAAATTACATCTAGTCAGACTATGGGGGTTTAATCATAGTCGGAGTTTCTTATTTTAGCTGTAGAAAAGCGACCACTTTACATTAAAATTGTATTTATGCTGCTCTTCGAGATTTGAAAATTGTTCAAAAAAGTCATCTGCTTTCGATTTCTGTAGTACATTGGCATTTTTCCAATTTTCTGATGGCCATGTTTAAATAGGAAAGTTTTTTAAAAGTCGAATGTCAATGGTAGAGACAATTTTTTAAAGCTGGGTTGTTACAGGTAAAACGTGTGGAGTGGAGTCTCTTGAAGATCTCGTGGATGCATTCCGATTGGACGAGCCGGGAACCAATCAGTCTGCGTTGTTAGACGAAGAGGAGCCTGTGAAAATCAGTTTGAGCTCGATCGATTGGAAACAGGCTTACAGTGAGCTATCAGAGGCTATTAAAGAAGCAGCCGCTCAGTTGGGAACTGATGACGACAAACCAGCGCATATACTTGACCTGGATCTGACCGATGATGATGTCATGGCGGACACAGATAAGGAGGAACCAACACGTAATTTCTTTTTTTTTGTTAAGTCTTCTTGAACACAGTGAACACGTATATAGGGCGTGTTCATTTTATAGGGATCGCGGTTTGACGTTCGCTTGTTTGACGTTCGCGGTTTGACGTTCGCTTGCTTTTTAACTTCATCTCATTGTCAGTCCGCTAGTTTGCCATGCTATGTATTTGTGGGGCTATTATGAGAAAGAGTCGAGAAACAGATAAGTAGATAATGATATGTTTTGCAGTTCTGGATTCGCTTCGGAGGATGAGGCCAGTTATTCACAAGATGAGTACGGGAGGTGAGGATAAGTGGTACGAAAGGGACAACAGATTCAGATATGCACACCTGCTCAACGATCCAATCTTAGACACCGTAGGCGACATAGGCGAGGAGGAGGGGGAGGGGGATCTAGAAGGACTTCGGAAAGAGCCGACTTCATTGTCTGATTTCTATGACATACGTTCTCGTGAGTTGATTTTGAAATACTGTTCTCCGCATGTGAAGAAAACTGCAGCTGTTTTAACTAAATAAAGGCTAAAATATTTCAATATTTTGAATAGCAGTAATCAGAGTTATAGGGAAGTAACTTGAGTTAAGCAAAACTAGTCGAGTCAAGTAAAATTTGGTAGGTATATTTAAAAGGTAAGGTAATGGGTGGATTTGAAATTACATTGTTGGGGACATATTTGTCTTATTTTAGTAATGGATCGAAGAAAACGGTGGAAAATTAACCTGCCTACGAAAGAGGAAGAAGACAGAGTAAACAGTCCAGCCGGAACCCAGTCAATATTTGACTCCTTGGCCCTCGAAATGGGCAAAATGCCTCTGGATGCTGACGAAAAAGACGCCTCGGAGAGGTCAAAAGGATTCCAGTTGTACGAGGAGTCGCATGTTGACAGGATGTCTTCTTCGCAGTACAGTGAACCGGAAATGGGATTCTTGACTGCAGCTCAAATCAAAGAGGAGAGTTTGTTCAGTTTCGAACAGCGGGAGTACAATCAGTAGTGAGTTTGAAGATATTTTATTTTCTGATGGTTTTTCGGAGAGGGGGGGGGGGGGGGGGGGGTTCTGACGGGCTTTTAATGCCATTTTTGTTTAAATGCTTATGAAGTTTACTTTTAAGAATTATAGGGGGTTAGTTCGACTATGAGTGGTTTGCTTGAATCCTCTGAGAAAAATTTAATTAGATTGACGTGACAAGTAAAAAAAAGCCAAATTGAATGCTAGCAGAGCTGAGTTTCTTTATCGAGTTTTGAATGATTCAACGCCTGTTGTGTATTTCAAAGTTGAGGTATCTCGCCCCTCCATTATGCATTAAGTGATAAATCGTAAACTAAAAAGAGATCATTTATCTGTATTATTTTGAATTTGATATTTGCTTATTAGTCATGAAAAGAAGACTCGTCTTCCGTGGTAAATATTATTTAAAGTGTTCCATCAATAGCAAATGCGACAGTTTATAAATAGTTGCAAATGACAAATTTTGTCATTTCTACTTGTGTTTAAATTTTCAAATCGATCGAATGATTAAAATTGTTCAACCAGATCGAATGAAATCATTTGAACCACAATTCTGAAATGATCACTGGAGTAGTTGGTAGTTTCTATCTAATGGATCATTATCTGAAGTTGCTTCTGTCATGTTTAAACTATAGAACTCTCTTATAGCTTCATTGTTGTCATTATCAAAATTGCTTCTGGCTTAAAATTTTGCAAATTTCATTGCAACTGCTGTAATTGTTTCTTCGATTGAAAAACCGTGACCTTCTGTTCTGACAAACTGACATCTTAAATTTGAAGGTGAACGCGGCGTCGATTCTCTAGAAAGAACTCGCAAACTCATTTTGCTCAGCAAAACTGCCTTTCTCGTCAAATTTTGATCACTGTCAAATTGAATCCAGATCATGGAAAAAAATTTTTCATCGCTCAAATGTTGAGTTTTTTCAAGTTTCAGTCAACGAAGCGAAGGCACTTATTTTGGTCGTGTGACTTTAGTTTTTAAGAGTCGATGAGCGTAGTTTCAGTCTCATATATTGGTCATGATTTCTATGTTTGCCAAGCTAGTGTATTAGTACGAACCTTCTTTTTTTTCCAACCCAAGTCGCAAGTTTTGGGACACCTTAACAGCTTTTTCATAGCTTGTGCTTTGACATTCGAAATGTAAAAAGTTAACACAGTTGATGCTTTTTTAATTCATTAAATGAACCGAAAAAATTGATTTGTTTCTAACAACATAACGATAACTTGATTTCGGAAATTTTCTGACTCAATATCTCGCAATTTTTTGATATGCATAATTTATGCAAAATGTGGCTGTAAGCTTTGCGATTTAGTAGTGTGGATGCAAAGGTAGTGTGGATGCCTTCATCTGGGTATTTCCAAATTGTTACTTGCAAAATTGAATCTGTTTGTATTTGGTGCCACTTTGCTGAATTGCATTGGCAATTATTAGCATATGTAGCTGCTTTATTCGTGACAAGTGTTTGTCGTTGTTAAGATTGAGAGGATAGTGCGTGAGACTCCAAATCCCTTGATTGCAGTAGGTCGCAGATTTCAATCCTACACGTAGCCGAGTTTTTGCTAATTTGAGGCTTATTTCCTACACTAAGCTACTTTTTAGTCGTGTTCTTGCAAGTGTTTGCGAAGCGCAGCTTCTCTGTGTTTAAGGAAGTCTTAAAATTTGTTCAGTCTTAAAATAGGTTAATAGCTTCAGTTCATCTCCTTTGTTAAAAGGCAAACTCCACTATCGGACAGCAAAAGTGTAAAGGTCACGAAAAACATGATTGGCTTCTAATTTTGAAATTGGAATTTAATTTCAGATTTCCTAGAGGAATAAAAAATTCTACTATTGCTCGTTTTCTCAATTTGAGTGTCAATCATAAATTCTTATAATAAATCAAAGAGCTTTAGGGCCATCTATTTGTTTCTTGGAATTATGAAAATTATGAGATTTTTCAAAAAAAAGATCGCTATTTTTTAGTTTGCGTTAATTGACTCTTTTTCAATTTTCTGTTGCTTTGTTCTAAAAGTTTACTGGTAAAAAGATTGAAAGTTCAAAAATATCTGTAGTTTTTGTTATTTGATCATCTATAGCATCATTAGTTCGCCTATGCAAATAGCCCACAGATAGATTTACTGTTGTGTCCGTTTAGTCTGGACGAAGTGGCTCGTGAGAGGCTGGAGCAGCTGAAGAAGAAGAGGAACAAGTTGGTGTATGTAGCCGACAAGCTCACAGAGAAGAAACAGAAGGAGAAGGAGGAGAGGGCGAAGAGGAAGCGCTTCATTCTGACGAAGAAGAAGCAAGAAGAGGAGAAGGAAGACAAGTCGGAAGGGACGGTGCTGAAGGAAGAGGTAAGCGTTGAATTTTGAACATTTCATGTTAATTAAAGGGGTTTATTACCATTTTAGCCCTCTATAAAGTTCTATCCCCCATAATACAAAAACTATAGCGTAAAGACTAAATTTTTTTTTAACCAAGAGCGGGTCTTTCTTTTGAAAAAGTGAATTTGGGCATGTGTTGTTTATCATCCATACCGTGTCTCTTTAAGATTTCGAAAATAAGAAATTATAGTTTTAAGAATGAATATAGATTTCGTGAACGAATGAATGGGCTGTTATGAACACTTTTTTGTTCAAACTTCATTTTCTATTTTGACGCATTTGAACATAGTAGCATGTGAAAATCCAATAATACTGGAAAATGAACGAAGGGGTGAATCGGAAAAGAACGCTTACTGGTTTTAAAAATGCCATTAGTTTGAAAAGTATGAGCAAGACTGCTTAGGTAGCAGCTAAGGACTTTTACAAACCAAATTGGATAGTTTTTCATACTGAAATTTTTAAAAATTGATGTTTATTGATATGTCGGTTTAGGAACTGTTGTTGATGAAACATGTATGTATTGGCTGTTTTGTTTTATTCCACCGCCTCGGCCACAAGGTTGGAGTGGGGAATTGTTGAAGAGATTTTACAAACGATTCAATTAATATTTGGGCTGCTATAAAAACTGTACAATTGATTGAAGTTCTATCTTATTGACATGTAATACGACTTTTGAAAATAATTTAAGCAAAGCAGCGTCCTGTATTTTAAGCAAGAGATGTAATTATGAAAATCCGACAATTTAAAAGACGTTGATGGTTGAAAATTGTCTGCCATTCAATCCATCTGCCTCGAGAACAGCTCCCTTCTGATTAAAATGACGTCTTTTGACATCTTCCCAAGTGAACTAACTGTAAAAATATTTGAAAACGATTTCATTTTTCTTATATCGTTTGATTTTTCATCCTTTCAATTGTCATAACGGTAACTTCCAAAAAATGTTATCCAATTCTTTCATCTGAAATTTTCCGTCAGTTATTTCAGCCTGTTGGTATTATTGAGTCTCTCATTTTGTTATCCATACTTTTTAGTCGGATGTACGTGGAAGCAGTTAAGCAGCACATGCACTGCAATTGAATTAACTAACCGAAATTGAAGCCCTGGTTTTTCACGTCGACTAACTGTGGTAAAAATCGTCTGGATATAGCTTCATTTAGAGTTCGATTGAAATTCTGCTTTTTCAATTCGTTTTATGTCATTTTGGTTGATGAAAACATGTGTGAAGCGTTCTGGCAAAGTTGTGTCAGAGTTAAAGCTTGTTCGGATACTTTGTTGTTTTCACCTAGAGCCAACAAGAACTATGTTCAACTATTTGAAAATGAGTATTATCAGAATAATAATTAAAGGTATGAATTCATTTTTTTCACTTCCACATCGAGTAACTGTGGAAATAATTGTCTGGATATTGCTTAGCTGTAAAGCTCTCTTGAAGTTCTGTGCTTTTAAAATCTTTTTCATGTCATATGGGTTGATGGAAACTTGTATTACGCGTTTTTGGCTATATTCCCTAAGTTGCTACATAATAAAACTTGCCTGTTTACTTCGATATTTTCACCTGGAGCCGGTGATCACAAGTTAAACTGTTTGCATTAAATCATCACAAAAAATAGAAATATTTTTTCAATCAACTAAATGCTGAAATTGTTGTTGGTGAGCGCTGATTTTTTTTAAGAGTCACTGAACGCAGTGAAGACTTTTAAATATGATGTGATGATTTTGTTTTTTAGAATAAAGTTATCAAATTTATTAACGCTCAAGTTTGAGTTTTCAGGTTTTGACTGATTTTTAAGCGTCGATGAACGTAGTGAAGACTCTTATATTGGTAGTGATGATTTATTTGTTTATTTTGTAAAGGATATTTGTGAATGCTCAAATTTGATTTTTCGTTGTTAAAATTTTAATTTCTTTTTAAGAATTAGCCTAATTGTGCTGATAAACTTATTAATTAGGAGAGACATGAATACTAATTCACTAAATTCATTTGAAGTTAAGAACACTGAGAATAAAGTACAACAACAGCACTGAAGCAAAAGTTACAGGCCTGCTATATCTGGATCAGACATTTGCAATGAAAATACATCAAAAAGACCATGTACAACTCTGAGCCCACTTAGCGAAGACGAAAGCGGTACAAAATTGCTAAATTTATTAAGCTCCGCGGTAGAAAAAGCAATCAAAACTTTTGGGCTAAAAGAGGATAGTAAAACCGATGAACACGACAATCAATGAGAAATCAGAGGAAACCTTTAAAAGGTGCTAGATCTCCCAAAAACAGTTGATGCCTGCATGGATCAAAAAGATATCTCCATTGCACGCCGCCTACCAACTAGAAGTGGAGCCATTAAACCTATAGTTGTTAAGTTTTCACGAAGGGTTGCAAGAATCGATCTCATGCGGAGAAATCTAGCAAAGTCAACGGAAACGAAAGAAGTTAAAATATTCGAAGACCTGAGCCCAGCGCGATCCATGTTTATAGAACTGATGAAAAGTGACAGCCGTAGTCTAAGTGTTTGGACAAAAGAGGGCAATATTTTATATACATTTCACAACAATTTTTATTATAGCAAAGTCACCAACCTTTGATGGAGGAATTGATCTTGGCTATAATTTGAATGATGTTAAAAGCTGTTTTCGTTGATAAAAACTAATTCACCAAATAGTGCTAATCCTTATCACTCAATCTATTCGTGTGATGCCAAGTTAACTTTTATGCACCTTCATATAAGATCATTAAAAACCGCACTTCGAATAATTGGAAACACTTAAACTAAATCTTGAGTCTTCTCTCGATATTCTGTCTAACTGAAACATGGCTGGCAGAAAGTGACATAAGTGAAGTCTGGTTAATTAGTGGTTATAATCAATTCTACACCAAAATTAGAAGCACTCATGGTGGCGGTGTCAGGATACCAACCAGAAGTACTTACTGTTTGCTGAAACAGGTTCAAATAGTCTTTGAAGATGATATACTTGCTGAAATGTCGAAAGGTTCTTTCAAGTTTCCGGTTGGTGTAAACAATAAACCTAAAAGAAATAAAATATCATTCGTAGAAAAGCTAGATCAGTTTTTAGATGAGAAAAAAATCTTTAAATAGGCCTTTTATTGTGTGTGGCTATTTCATTATAGATACCAGGCAGAACAACCTACTTGTTCAGAATTATATGAACATAATAACTTCAAATGGTTTTGAGATCACTAGAGATGAAGCTACCCGCGTTACTGAAAATACGCAAACTTGTCTGGATCATTTCATATATTAAAATTTACCTTTCTCTGTTTCGAAGGTACTCAATTACGAAAAAATATCTGACCATTATCCGATAACTTTAGAATGGTACATAAATATTAAATGCACTGTAGAAAATGTTAAATTCGACCTAGATATTTTAAATATATGTTTGATAGCAAATAAGTTAGTAATTAATATATTTAAAACAGTGCAAATTAACGTTAAATCAAGCACTTCCTTTTGTGATTTCAATTTGATTTCAAAAGTTGAACCTGTATGCAAGTTTTTGGGCAGATTGCTAGCTCTCATATATCAGTAACATAAATTTCCTTAAATTGAGACTGGAAAAACAATGTGGTTTGATATCAAAACTAAGATATTATGTACCAACGGGCCAACTACTGGACTACTATCGCAGTAATGTAGTCTCCCTATTCTTCAGTATGGCGTTCTGTTTTATGGGTGCTGTAGTTTTTCTGTTTTCAACCCAATTTTCGTAATGCCTCTGTATAAAAAAGTTTTGATAAAGTTTTGAGTATGATATAATATAATGTTATGCATTTTCCATAACCTAACAATTATTGACTCATTTGAGTTTTTGGGTATACCCTTTGGAAATATTTCTGCTATACTGCATAATTCCAATACTTTTCTCAGTTCACTCTCAATAAATGAAAATTTGATAAGGGCATTTAAATAGGGCTCTGATATGTTTAGCTACTAGTTCAAACAAATGGTGTTCCTTAGAAAAAAAAAAGCTTGTTTTTAATTCATTGACTAGATTGATTAGTATTTATATACATATTCAAGGCAGATTTGAATAAGCGTTTCACTTTCTGATTAAATAAATCTAATTTTTAATGGATGCGTAACTAGAACAACATAATGCAATATAATTTGCACAAATTTTTTGTAGGGTCTAACACAAGGTGCTTGGCAAAAGGAAACACTTTCGAAGCCTGTAACAAATATTTGTGACTTTTCTCCTAAAACATCTTGGTGCTTTTATGAGAGAAACTTTTGTAACCTAAAAAAATTGCGCCTTAACAGTTTTGATATCTGGTCTGCAAGATCAGAATTATCACGAGCTGTTTGCGTTGAAGCAATATCTGAAATTCAATTTCAAAGGTGTGGGTAATTTCGGAAGGAACGAGGCATAGCAAAATAACATAGCAATGTAAAATAACATTCCCCCATAACAATGTTACCAAAACAGCCACCTAACGTCAATTGTTCGCTTGAGTTTAAAGTGATCTTTTTGGTTTAGTTTCTGAACAATATGTTTAGGTAGCGGCTGAGTTGGCGCAAGACGTGGAGGAGGCTAAGTCGATGAGTAGACATGCTGGTAATATGTCAGAGCTCCTTCACAGGGCCCAGAGCTACTTGGGAAGTCTGTCCCCCTCAGTGATAGACGAAGAGGACGAGGAGGGGGAGGGCAAGGAGGAAGAGGAGAGGGGAGAGAAAGTTGAAAAGGCTGTCGTCGGTCAGAAGGAAATTGACGCTGAAAAGAAACGGAATATTCTAGAAGACTACGTTAGTATTTTGTATATCTATTTGTTTTCGGTCTGAGCATTGAATTTGTGTGAAGCGTTGGCATCAAACAGCAGTTTGATTTGGCTTAATGTCTACTGTTGTTTCAGACACTTTGATTAAATTGTTGGACGGTGTTATATAATTTGGTTGTTTTTTAGAGGAATTCGTTTTGGGAAAGCAAATGTTCAGTTTCATTTGGATTTCGTAAATCATGAGACGGCTTGTTTAATTTTTGTTATAGTGCTGCTAGATACACAGCAAATTAGAAATTTAAAATATTTTTTCTAAACTGTCGCGTGTAGGGGAATGTTTCATGGCAGAATAACAAAAGATAACAGCCAATCAGAATTTAAAATCAGCCAGTCTTCAAAATGTGATTCAGTGTCTCTTAGTCTGTTTAAAAGATTTTGACTGGCTGGAATTCTTGTCATTTTTGCGTTCTGCCATGAGAATTGCTTCCGCTCATGTGTGTTAGGTTGAGGACGCTGTCGTGCGTACTCTGAATCTGGACCGAATTAGTGACTCCCAGTTCTCGGAGAGGGTCAAGTCTCGAGTTGCACTGGTGCGCATGGCCAGACACGAGGGCGAGGAGAGGGGGGCGGATGATGGGATGAGAGACGGACAGATTGGACTGGACGTGAGGCCACCTGTGCACCAGCCCCCGGAGATCATGGTTGGTACTGGAACCTTCGAAAAAAAATTAAAGATCATTATGCCTTTTGGCTTTTTTCATAAGCAATGCTAGTTTGATAATACGATTCCAGATCGGTCAAGCAAGGTAGCACCTTTTATTGTTAAGTTTTGAGCAAAGTTGTTTCTGATGTAGTATTGAAGCAGCATGAGTTATGCCAGCTCAATTAACGCCCATTCGTTGATGCCTTGTTTATCACTAAAACATATGAGACTATGATTATGATTGAAAGTAGGCGTTGTTAGAAAGAAAGAAAGAATTTATTTCTCGTTGTTAATGGTAAATTTGCATACAACGAGAATTTAAATATGAAGCACCAGAAACAGTGAGGGGACAGTTAACGAACCCAATTTGGTTACACAATACTGCCCGTTTTATCAAATAAAAGACAAATTTGTGATCTTCAAAGACAAGGAAAAATATATAAATATGAAAACATAAAAGAAAATATGGGAAAAAAATACTAAAGTTTGAATAAACATAAAGCAGCCGATTTATGGCATTGTGTAGACAGGTTAATGACATAAGTTCCAAGCTCTGCATCAATATTTAAATTGATTCTTCAATCATAGTCGGTATAAAACCAAATTAAAGAAGAAGTTAGTTCAAATTCATCACTCATAATTTCTGAAACTCGCTAGTCGTAGGCACCCCTATTCGGTTTCAAAAACAAAACTTGAACTTGTTCCCTTTACGGTTACTGCTTTACTAACTGTGTCCCGGGTAGGCGACAGGTTGCAAGTTATATACATCAGAATGCGAAGTGTTATTTTCAATAATTTATTTTCCTTTCAGGACTTTTTTGTAATTTGAGTGCATCTTTTAGTTTTCTTAGAAGAAGTCCTTAAAATTGTTCACGCTCATATTTGATTTTTCGTAGGTCAACTTCACATTTCTTGCAAGTTTAATTTCACTTGCGCGACTGACTTATAATCGGGAAATAGACTTTTTCCCCCTAAACAACTTTTCTTACACATTCAGCTGACAAATTTATTTAGTGAAAAATTATTGATGTTTTTTTCGGGTTTAGGTTCTCGTCGGCTAAGTTCTGTCGGCTGATTTTCCGTTTTTTGTCAAATACCTTCTTATATCTGGTACGCTTTTCAAGTAGTTTCCTTCGAAAACTTGACTTTTTGTCAGCTTACTTGCCACATCACGGATTTTTTGCACTGTCTGCAATTTTTCATTATAGATGCGAGTGTTGTTCATTGTAGTTTCGGGGGACTTTCAGGAGTTTCCGGATTTTTTTAAGAGTCATGGATGTAGTGAATACTTTTATATATGTCTTTCAAATCGACTTCTAGTTTCAAAAATAGTTTTCAGTTTTTCAGCGTTATAAAAAGTTAACCTAGTGATCCAATTTTCTCAAATTGAGTTAGTTTTATCATAGAAGTGTCACTTTAATTGTTCTCGAAATTCAAGGAGCCTCAAGGCCATATGTTTTTTATTCAAAATTTGAGAGATGGTTTTTTTTTCAGTTTCCTTTGTTCATGAGTCATGACTTTTTCCAACTGTGTTGGTTATGTTTGAATTGCTATTTGTAGAGTGAGCGAATTGTGCGACACTACGATGTGCAGTGGAAGTATCCGAAGAAGGTGAATCCATTCAAGGGAGCCAGATACACCAACAGGATACTCCATCTACACGCTCTCAAGATACTACACGTAAGTTATTCTAACTTAATTGTATCCGCCGAGAGCGCATATAGCACTAGACTAAATTGATAAAAGATAAAAATCAAGTATACGCAATACTGGGTTTATTGGAAAAGTAGATTTACGTGAGTTGCGTTAGTCAGAAATACGTGCCTTGTTACGCTTCATAGTTAATAACATATGCAGTTAAACTAGCCCTTGTTGTGTTTTTTAATACTTGGTCGAACACACCTCAACTGTGACCTTTGTTTTGTACTAACTTCAGGGTCATATGGAAGCGGTGTTGTGCATGAAGATATCAGCCGGCAGAATCATGACCGGCTCTATGGACCATTCAGTGCGTGTATGGTGCAATGGATCAGGCAGGTCTCTCCACAAACTATACGGACACAGGGGATCAGTCTGCTCCATAGATTTCAACAGGTAAGCAGTGCAATCAAGACATCAGAAGCCTCTCTAGGTCACACAAAATGTACCGAGTTAATCCGAGTATTTCAGCTATGACTTATCAAGAATTCGACCGGGATATGAAACTGCTTTGAAAGGGAAAATGACGGATATTTGAAAGACTCATGCAATAACCGCGACCTATTTTTAAGAATCTGACATGACTTCCTGGGGGCTGCTAAATATTATGTTGTATTGACAAGCCCCAAGGAATTCGCATCAGAATTTTAAAAAATTGGTGGCTGCTATTGCAAGAGAAGCTTAAAGACGTGTACTTCTTTTTCTGTTTCAAGCAACATAATATCCTGGACGTATGTATAGTACCAGTTGCGTTGGGCTTCAGGAAGCAGAAATTATGCATGAAGTTTTTTTCAATAACATTTAGAACAGGCTTTGGCGAATGGTTATTAGCAGATAATGTACGTTGAGCCGAACTGTTCTTTCGGTTTTTGATAAATACTGGAATGATTAGGATTCCTTGATCATCATCATCATCGTTGAGTTTTACACCATCTTCTGGTGTTCGACGGTGAGTTTACTGTCCAGTTTGGTGTTCGTCCCTTTTCTATCCAGGGATTAGGATTTCTTGCCCTCGAAGATTTAGGGGCGCCCCGCCGACCCAGTTTGAACGGGATAAGGCGGCAATGATGATGATGATGATGATGATGATGATGATGATGATGATGATGATGATGATGATGATGATGATGATGATGGTGGTGATGGTGATGATGATGATGATGATGATGATGATGATGATGATGATGATGCTGGATTAGTACTTTTTGATCCAGCTGGCGACCAAGAAATGGATAACACCCGCTCCCTGAGACTGAACTTGCAGTGGGTAAGGTCGGTGGCTAATTAAAAACAATGGAGTCATTACCACTGCTGTGTGTGTAGGGACTGGATAGTGAGTGGCAGTTGGGACATGACAGTGATGGTGTGGGACAGCAGGAGCTACTCCTACTTCGCCACCCTCTTCGGACACCTCGGCAAAGTCACAGCCATACAGCTCACCCCATTTCTACTGTGAGCACTGGCCAAGACATGTTTGTTCTGACCACGGAATTAGGAGTCATTTTTGATTAAGCTGTTTTGCACTTACTCAAGTGATACTTTTTTTTGAAGTTTTTTTGTTTGTGATTCGAGCTGCGAATCAAAAATTTCTTTAAAAATTATCAATATCGAGAAAATGGTTCTCACAATTTGTTTTTTAAAGTGATATCTGCAAAAATAATTAGAATTATTCAAGTATCGGTGAAAGAATAGCAGACACTTATTTAGGTCGTGGTGATTTTTTTCTGAAAAACCTTAGAATTTGTTCAATTGTGTTAATTTAAATCAGTTCACGAAATATCTTGTTCATGAAATTCCAAGAACTTTGAGGTCATATTTTTTTAACTTTGAAATTCGAAAGATCAAATTTTTCAAAAAAAAAAACGAGCAAGATTTCTTCTGTTTCCTTGCTTTCATTGACGCTTTTCCAATTTTCTGTCGGCAATGTTTTGTGATTTTTAATTGTTTCAAGCTTCACGGGTTCCCACGATGGAACCATCCGAGTGTGGGACATCTCAAAGAACTTCGCTTGTGTGCGAGTGTACGAAGCAGGGGCAGCAGTCACCTCTGTCACTATCCCTTTTGTGCCAGTCTCAACTGAAGGTCACAAGGACAGTCATGGACTGGCGGTGGATGTGCCAGAAGACGAGAACGAGAAGCTGCCGTTGGAGTGTGTATTTACTACATGTCAAGGGTGAGAGATATTTGCACGTTTACTAATCATTTATGAATGCCAATCAACTATTTAAAAAGAGTCAGAAGAGACTTATTTCAGCCTTTCTTTTTTTTCAGGCTAAGTTTTTGTTTGGGCTCAACTTGCGAATTGAAGATTGAAGTTCACATTCATTTTTTAAGCAATTTCAACCTACGCTATCCAGTATCTAAGATGTCCTAGAAACAAAAAACCGCTTCTCATTTGGTAGAAAAATTTTTAAAACTTTTTGATCAAATTGACTCAGTTTGGGTTGGTATTTAAATTTTACCATAACAGTTTATTGGATTTTAATTACAAAGTAGATTTTTGGTCTCAACGGGTAAATCAAAGGCAAAAAAAATAGAAAGAAGCTTGCAAATCAGATGATTGCTATGCCAGCTCTCGGAGAGATTAAGTCTCTTTCTGAAGTGGCGTATATCGTTGCAGAAAATAATGTTTTTTTCTTGTATGAAAAAACGCCGCGAATTGTTCTCAAGGCAACTGAACCAGACAATTAATCTATGTTTGATTTAGGTCGATCAAGATTATGGATCTGAAGAGAAACAGGACTGCCGCCTTAGAAGGACATTCTGCTGAAGTCACTTGTCTTAGAGTGAGTCAAATAGCAAGTTTTTAGTAATTTTTCCTACAAAAATGATCCAAAAATGAAAAGGATAATGAACGTAGTAAGTACTCTTAATATAGGTCTTGTAGATTTTTTTTGGTTTTTTTAGGAAAAAGTCTAAAATTTGTTCATGCTCAATTTTCATTTTTTTTCGGCTTGACTTTTGATTTCTTTTAACACTAGTGGACGAAATCAAGCGCAAATTCAGGATTTTACTCTGTAGAATGCCTGTTTTCAATGTACATTTTGGACAGCAATTCCTTCGAAATTCAGTAAAGTTGATCGAGCAAATGATCAGAGCTACCATCTATGAAAGTATCAATACTTGGTTCCAATGACTTACCAATGTAATCCGGGTCTGAAAATGCCAGCTTTCCTCATCTGCACTAAGTTTTGCTTCGTAGTAAAATCTTTCTTGAGTAAGCGGAGTAAACAACTTGTTCATGCGACATGAATCATTCTCAGCGAGAAAATGGAAACAGTGTGAAAACTTTACCAAGTTCAGACGTTTGTTACTTATTCATTTTTGTTCATTTCCTTGTTAAAAGGAAGGCAAACTCCACTATCTAACAGCAAAAATGTAAATGTCACGAAAAACTTGACCGACTTCTAGTTTCGAAAATGAAATTTAATTATCATATTTGCCAGCGAAATAACAAGTTGTTACCTATTGATCCAGTTTGCTCAAGTTAGCGTTAATTTAATTTTAAAAAGCACCGATAATAAATTGCTCGTGAAATTCAAAGAGCTTTAAGTGCATATAATTTTTCGTGAAAATTCGAAAGTTTTTTCAAAAACAAGTAAGTTTTTTTTTCTGTTTTCTTCCGCTCATTAATTTTTTCCAACTATGTTTTACAGCAGCAGTTATTTCAATTGTGTTGCTCCATCAACCATTTGGTTAGGTTTTATGAAAATCTGATGCAAGCTTGTTTTCCCCTGGCCAAATTTGAAAAAACTTTTTACGCATTTGATTCCCCGAAGTCGTTCATTGACTTTTAAATCCTCAAATCATGGCTTTTAAGTTCGTTGTTGCATAACTTGTTTGAAGTTTGTATTTATATCTTTAGATAAGTGGAAACTTGCTGATCTCTGGCTCACAAGATGGTCAAGTGAGATTTTGGAACAAACACACTCTCCAGTGCGAGTCAGGAATACAAGCTCATAATGAGCCAGTGCTCGCCCTAGAGTTCCACAGACGCAAGTTCTACACTGCTTCTGCGTGAGTCACAATAAAGTTATCGTTGGTTCTGAAAACAATTGATGGAACTTTTTTTTTCATTTTTTGGCTAAGATTTATTGACGATAGCACGGGTAACTTAAATATTTGAGTTCTCAGCTATTCAGGCCATGAATATTTTTTATTTTAACAATTAGGGTATTTTGGTTTAACGATCCATTTTATGACCAATTAATGTAAAAGTCAAGAATAACAGAAACTTCTCATGGATAATTAACATTTAGTGACTCAACAATTCGAGAGTGGGATCTCTATACTATGACCTGCATGAGGGTGTTACATGGACACAAAGCGGCAGTTAGGGCTCTCAAGGTATCCGACCGGAGAATCATTTCATGCTCTGACGATGGCGAGATCAGATTTTGGCAACTGCAGGACCCCCTGGAACCAGAAATGATGCTGTGAAAAAAAAACACAGATTACAACTGCTATTTTAAAATTGAGTGTTAATTTTAATCTTAACCTATATTCAAGATAATTTAGACTAATTTCATCTGTTGTTTTTTTTAGCTTAGCTAATTTTGTCATAGTTCTTCTAGCTATGAAGCCTACAAAAACACTATTGAAAGTTAGAGAGAAGTGAATTTTCACTTGTATAGATCGTGGCGTTTTTGATTAAACTGTTCTCGGAAAATGTTTTCGAAAAGATCTCACAACAACAAAAATTCAAGTGGGGCGAAACGAAATATGGCTAATTTAAGGTTCAAAAATAGATTATTGTTTGAAAAATCAAAGCAAGAAGAACCCAATGATTTTTTCTTGAAATAGGGTTAGTTTTTAAGAGTAGCTGGACGTAGTTCAGACTCTAATATAGGTCATGATTTTTGAAGGAAAAAATCTTAAAATTTGTTCCGGCTTAAAAATCATTTTTTTGCGGTTCGACTTTGATTTCTTAAGTTCAGTTCATTTTCTTTGTTTACACAAGCATGGCTTGTGTTATTGAATGAACAACGTTTTTTCCAACCTAAGTCGCAAATATTGTTCCGACGGTAATATTGTTGTGATAAAATGTGTTCTTTTTTGATCAATAACCAGCTATTAAGTGCAGCCAATGGATTTTATCACCGACTATTTTTGTTCCGATTTCGTAACGCAAGTAACGGAATACTTAGGCTTGGGGTGTTTTTTTTTCAGGAAAAATTCGACTTTTCAACTAGCTATTTTTGACGGAGTTTTTTATATCCTTCAATAAGTATTAGTGTCTTGAGCTTAAATTTGAAAATATATTCCACCTGTGATTATTTTTCGTAAAGTTATGGGGGTTTAAAAATTGCTATCTCGCATTAATTTGGGAAAATTAATGCGAGATATATTTCGCGCTATTAAGGCGTGAGCGTAGATTCAATCCGTCGTGAAATTGTTCCAAATTGGTTAAAGAAAGCTTATTTGCTTTAATTGATTTGTTACTAGGAGTAAATTTATCATTTTTCACTTAATATGGCGTGCGGGGGGGGGGGGTGATTTTCACAAAATTCTCAAATTTACAAAAAAAAAATTATATTTTTAATTAACTATGATTATTTTTGTGATTACTGCTCCATAGACCTTAAAAGGCAGTCGGAACGTTCAGGACTTTGTCCTGATACAACCAGTAATTTTGTTTCGACTTTCGTTACAAAAAAAAACGGAATAATTGTGCTCGGGATAGTTTTTTTTAATTAGCCATGTTTGACGAAGTTTTTTTTTATATCATTCAACTGGTTTTGTTGTCCTGAGCTTAAGTTTGGAAAAATATTTTAACTGTGATCGTTTTTCCTAAATTTATGAGGGTTTAAAAATTGTCAATTTGGGAAAATAAATGAGCGATATATTTCGCGCTATTAACGCGTAAGCGGAGATTTAATCCCTCATAGAAATCGTTCCAAATTGGTTAAAGGAAGCTTATTTGCCATAATTGGTTTGTTTCTAGGAGTGAAAGTTATCATTTTTTGCTTTATTTGGCGTGTGGGTTGATGATTGCTTACAAAAATATCAAATTAAAAATGAATTCACTTTAATTTAATTAACTTTTTTTCATGTTTTTACTGCTCTATAAACCTTGAAAAGCATTCAGAATATTCAGAGCTCCGCCCTGTTACGAGAAGTTTTGTATTACAAATAGCTCTCTAGCTTCAAGGTATCATGGTTCTGTACAGTAGAAGTAGGGAAGGAGACAAGTAACAAAATACGAGGGTTCAAACCTGGGCAGGGTCGGATGTTTCGAATGAACTTTTTCGAATGAAATTTTGTATACTGAAAGTTTTAGACATTCAGGTTTTCCCAGTAGGTTTATCGGTCATATTTTTGCTTGTGTATGCGAAATGCAACTTCGTCTCTGTGTAAGACCTTTATGAATGCACTTAGGTATGTATACTATTTTTGAATTCAATTGAAATTCAAGTTGAATTTCTTTTTTATAGATTTCCAGCAGAATAAAAGTTTCATCTATTGATCCAGTTTTCTTAAATTAGATTGTTATCAAAAAAAAGACAACTATGAACCGTTCTTGAAATTCAACGAGCTTTAAGGCCATTTTTGTTTAATCTTGAAATTCAAAGTTGAAGTTTAAAAAATTAATTAAGTGTTTTTTGTTTCTTGCATTCATGATTCTTTTCCAACTGCCTGTTGGCTATGTTCAAAAACTGTCCGTAATTTATTGTTCTTGGATTTCAAATAACTTTAACTTCATAATTTATGAGTAATGAAAGTAGTGAAGATTTTTATTTAGGTCTTGCTTGTTTTTTTTCAGGAAATTTTAATGCATTCGGGTATATACGCACTTTTTGAGTTCAATTGAAATTCATCTGCTAAAAGTTACGTAAATAGAACTCTCCAAATAGCACTCTTCAGACAAACTTCGGCTTTTTAACTAGCCGTTTTTGACGGAATTTTTTCATATCATTCAAAAACTATTATTGTCTTGAGCTTAAATTTGAAAAGATATTTCATCTGTGATAATTTTTCGTAAAGTTATGCGGGTTTAAATCTTGCTAATTTGGCCAGTTTGACAATTAACGCGCGATATAACTCGCGCTATTTACGAGTAAGCGAGATGTAACCCGTCTTAGAGATTGTTCCAAATTGGTTAAAGGAAGCTTATATGCCATAATTGATTTTTTACTAGGAGTGAAATTTATCATTTTGGGCTTTATATGGCGTGTGAGGTGATGTTTCCACAAAAATTTTCAAAATTTTCTAAAAAAAATTTTTAATTTCATTTTATTACATTTAAATTTTTCATGTTATTACTGCTCCATAGACCTTAAAAGGTAGTCGAAACGTTCAAGGCTTCGCCCTGATACCACTCAGGGCTTCGCCCCGATAGAGTCTTCCGTAATTTGTCGACTGTTTAGATAACACCATTTGACAGTTTTTTTCTAAAACATACAAAATATATTAATGTTTGAGCTCTAATGTCAAAAGATAACTCACCGAAGTGTTTCAGCTTCTTTAAAAAAACTACAAGGTGTTGAAAACTCCTATTGTGACCACTTTGGGATAAATAGCGCGCTATATATCTCATTTTCATGCTAAGAGGCGAGGTGATCCCCAGTATGGGAATATTTGGGAAAAAATCAAAAATTCAATCTACCAATTTTACATCAAAATTTTTTCATAAGGGCTGTTAAAAAAACGCCCTTGCCCTGATATGAACAGTTTTTGTATCATGCTTTTAAATTTGAGGGTAGTTTATTTCGTTCAGGCCAATTTTTATGAAAAATGATAGTTTTTCACGAATCAAATATATCGCAACAAAAATATATCGAATTAAAATATCGCAAAAAAAGATATTGTCTTCCTGAGCGCGAATGTAGCTACTTTTTTTGATCGTTTAGTTTGTGTTCTGGGCGTTTACATATCGTCAATTCGAATCAATTGGACATATGAACGCAAGCTTATAAAAAATTATCAATGAAGCACTACGCTTCAGAACAATTTATTTGAATTGAGGTGAGATACTAGGTGAAGCCAACTGTTCACTTGACGGTTTCGCTTAGTATCAGATTTTAAATTGCTTAAGTTTTTTAAGCGTTAGATATTTGGTCAGATTATAGACTTAAAAAAAGAAACAATTTAAAAACCAAAAAAACTATTTCAAAACAATGTTTACAATTTTTGTAAGGTAAATCTTCCTCCATACAAATTTAGCAGCTGGAAATTATATTGGTAACAAAAAAATTCATTTTTGACAATTAATTTCATGTAGCTTCGGATTTGTTGTATGTGGGGTTCGGATATATATAAAACATAAAAACTCCAGTTGCCAGCAATTAATAACTAACAGTGCAAAGTATGTGATTACGATGCCTTTCCTTCAATTAGCCCACGCGATGACAGCGGTGAACTCTTTTCACTGGTTATTAAGAAAAAAAAAATTTTTTAAATCGAGAAAAATAATTTGAGATTTTTTAAGGAAAAGTTCCTGTCGTCCATTTTTCTGGTATGAAAAGTCACTATCTTACAGTTTTCTTATAAGAACAATTCCCTCTTTTGTAATATTCTTCGAGCTTAATTTTGTAAGAAAATTTTAAAAGTTTGTTCTAAGATAGCGACTTCAGTCAGCCCAGAAACATCCAAAGTTTTGCGCTGCTAAATCAGTTTCTTCTTTAATTAGAGGGCCCTATAAATTGCCAAGTTATATTTATAATAGTGCGCTGCAAAAGTTGATAAGTCTCGTGAGTTTCCTGGTCTCATGAAACTCAAAAAATGGTGTTAAATCATTGCGCCAATAAATTGAAATAAAATCTTAATTTTGTCCAGAAGGATTGCTAGTGGAAAATACTGTGCTGATTTAAATTATCAGGACAAAACAAACAAAACTTGAATTTCCAAACACGCTTTCTCAAATTAGGTTAAGGTTAGACAAAAAGTGAAGAGAACAAAAGTTGCTTAGAATTTCATCAGAATTGATATGGTGTAGTTTTTTCTCCGAAAATTTCAGCCAAAATTTTACCACAAAAATGGGTCATTTTGGCTTTTTACAATTAATCAAGAATTACGCTGAAACTACTTTGTTAATTGACAAGGAATATATATCACAGGAAGCCTCTTACACAGCCCAACGAAGTTATAGAAGGGCTGAATCTCCAAAAAAAATTGAATGAACTGTTTAGAATTTGTTTTCAAGCAAAGATTTTTGATTTTATATAGTAAAAACACGTTTCTTGAATATCAAGCAAAAATGTTTTCTCTTACACAGTTTTTTGGAGATTGAGCCCTCGTACAACTTTGTTGGGCTGTGTAAGAGGCTTCTTGTGATATATATTCCTCATCAATTACCAAAGCAGTTTCAGCGTAATTCTTGATTTTGGGGTAAATTTTTGGTTGAAAACTTCGGAAAAAAATTGCACCATATTAATTCTGTTGAAATTTTAAGCAACTTTTGTCTAATCTTAAACCAATTTGAGAAAAACCCGTTTGAAAATTCAAATTTCGTTCGTTTTGTCTGGAGTTTGAATCAGCACTGTATTTTGCTATTGGATATCTATCCTTGTACTGCCTTAGTAAATCGGTTTAAAATTGTTTTATGAATCAATTTAATTGAGGAAAAAAATTGTTTGGCTGGAACTTTTTAAATCACCGGATCTTTCTTTCTTTCATTTACTGCTTTGAATATTTTAGCAGTTTTAAGTATAATCCGTTCTCGTGGTATTCACACATTTTGCCCCTCACACGTTTCGCCCCTCTTAAATCTAGTTGCACATTTCGCCCCTCACACATTTCGACCCGAATAACTTCACACATTTTGTCCTCGCACATTTCGCCCCTAATGTATTACACAGTTAATTAACGCCGCGTTCTTAATGTACATTTTAGGGACGAAATGTGCCACTGAATTTAAGAGGGGCGAAATGTGTGTGTGGCGAAACGTGGGACATTCCGTTCTCGTGTAGTTGTTGTTCTAAGCGGTTGTCGTATCCGCGCTCTTTACCTGCGGGCGAGGCAACAATTCGCACTCCATCTAAACATAATAAAAAAATTAAGTAACAAAATTAATGTACTTTTTAAGCACGAGTGAACCAGCCCGTATGTTGGTGTCCTTTCCTTCATAGATAGTCTCAAAAATCTCTAAAATGTCATATTGTCATCCTCGGACGCTGAACTGAATTGTTAGTTTGCGACAGTTTTTTTTGGCTTTGTCAATTTCTACAAATTTTTTTCATCAAACATTTTCATGTCTACAAAAGGGAATTGTATCCGTGTCCATTTTATGGGAGCTCCGATCGATTTATTTCACAATGTTTGGATTAGTGTACATTCAATTTTTTCATTTGACGGCAACCGATTTTAGCTGAAAATTAAACCAAATCGGTATTTTTGTTCACTGTCAAGTGGAATATTTTGTCTAAAACGAGAAGGTTTGATTAAAAGTGGAACGCAAAAGCTTTAAATAAATGATATATTGCGAGGTCTGCTCGTAGGTATAATTACCCGTGTGTTTTACTGCAGGTGTTTTGTTCATGCTCCGCTGATATTTTCCAAAACGAGTCTTCTTGCTGAACAAAAGGTTTTTAAAAATTTAGATTGTTTTTGAGCGGTTTTGGCAATAAGATCAAAATTCTCCTGCAATCATGCCCGTTTTTGGTTTTTTTTTAACCACTGAAACCACGAAAAACAGCTTTGAGGATGAATTTTTAATCGGATAAATTATTTTTCCAATATGTCAAACTACCCTTTTCCAGCTTCCAAGTTTGCTCAGATTGCTAAATTGAATTATTCAGAGTTGTTATTCAATATTCATCATCCGTATACTTGCATTTGGACAGTTGATAAGCAGCATTGAATTTCTTCTCGGGGGCACCCATGTTTAGCAGAGAAAAAACTTGACAAACGAAGAACATATCGGGAAAATTATATCAATATTTTAATTGACAGTTTTTATCAATATTTTAATTTTTACACTATTATTAATTTGAGTCACTTGCATTTCACCCCAAAAACTTTTTGTGTCGCTGCAGTATATCGATTTCTGTCTGCCTTCAGGTCTTTGATTTTCAATATTCTATTTTGAGCTCACGAGAAAAAAGCCGAAGTTTGTTTAATTTTACTGGTGTTAAACTAAGAACCCCTCCGAACCGTCTGCATCACTCGGATCTTCGCCTACCACATGCTGATCAATAAAGAGACTTGATGATAACTGATCCATAATTTTCTGCTTGAACCAAGGGTGCAGTACAGCAAGTAAAGGCTGAAAAACTACTCAACTTATCAAAACAAGCGCCAAAAATTTATGGCAATGAGCATGAAAGCTTTTTACAAAAAATGTATCAACTTGTTTTGACGTCTCAGCTGACATCTCGTGATTGTTTACGGGCAGCCTTAGACTACTAGTTTCAAAACAGGATCCAATCATCGAAACTTCAATCATTGAATCGATTCGAGCAAATCAACAGAAAATAAACATTTCATCAGATAATTTTACACATTTTAACGCCTGTAAAAAATCGTAGTCCAATTTTTCTCAAAAAATGACTAACGAGTATATTGATTATTTTTTTACGCACAGGATTGCAATTTCCAAAAAAATTGTTGAACAAATTCCACAACAAAAAACAACAATATAAAAAAAATTCCCTCGAAAAAAGAGAAACACGACAAACGACGAATAAAATTACAGCAGGTTTTACCAAAAAAAAGGAGAAAAACCGAACGTCCGAAACAATTACAACAGATATACTAAAAAAAGGTGAAAAAGCGAACCAAGTCAAAGATGACGACAACTTCGCCTAGCAACGTTACAGTTTTGTACCAGTGTCCTAGTGCGTACAAGTGCAGTGACATCGGACTGGTTCTCCCTCTCATGAATGAATCCGACTGGAGTGTGGTGTTGCGGAGTATTCTTTACTTCCTCGGCATGATCTACTGTTTCGTTGGAATTGCAATCGTGTCTGACATTTTCATGTCGGCTATCGAGACTATCACTTCCACCACAAGGTACAAATTATTTTTTAACTAGTTATAATTTTATATTTTTAATTTAATGTGTTTGTTCCATTTTTTTTTAGTTTTCTATATATTTTGCTAAAATATACCCTTAGTATCAGGCGCGAATCTAGGGTTTTCTCAATGGGGGGATTTCAAAAAAAAATCCAAAATTTTTCTCGACTTCAAAATTTTTAAATTGAATTCCCGAGCTCTCACAAATCACTATCAAGTCCCTTTACAGTGATTTGTGAGAGCTCGGAAAATCAATTTAGAAAAAAAATTAAAAAGTCGACAAAATTTTTTGAAATTGTTTTGAAAATCCCCCCTCGAGAAAATCCTAGATACGCGCAATATACTAATGGTGTATTTTAGCAAATTTATAGAAAACTACAAAAAATTGGAACAAACAAATGAAATTAAAAAGATAAAATTGTTACTAAAATCTTAAGTCAAAAAATAATCATAAAAGTTGCCTGAATGTTTAAAATTGCATGCAAATTATAAATTGTCATCAAAAATGACAGATTGAGCTTTTTTTTAGTTAAGTCTGTTTGTTCCAGCTTTTTGGAACTCAATATATTCTCCATCGCATTAAGTTTTTGATATTATTGCCGCTTTTTAGGTCAAATACCTAGTCTAAATATTTCCAAGTTTTGATTGACTTTAACTTCGAGTTGTTTTTGCATATCGAGAGTAAGAGAGAGCAAAGGGAACAAAAAAAGGCAATCGAAACGAGCAAAAATTCTCGTCAACAGTTTTAAGAGTTGAGCTATCGTTTTTTTTCTAGCTATAATTTTATTAAACAAATGCTAATTTATTGAAAATATCCCTTTCTGTCGACAAATCTGAACTATTGTTTTATGTAAGACGGCTCGTCTTGAAGTTTGGAGCCCAAAATTACATTTTTAAAAAGCATATCAATTCGAGTTACGACACAAAAAATGTAGAAGATGAAATTGACCCACAAAAAAAAGCGTTTTCTCGACATGAGAGAGAAAGAGAGCTAAGTCCCCCAATTTGACATTATGTCTTCAATTTTTGGCCATATAACTGTCCAAAGACTCTAACCCGTTCAATCTGAAAAATAGAGTCGGTGGTTCGAGTCTCTGCGTGGACAGTAACTGTGATTAAAAAAATCGCTCATTTGATTCCATTTAACTATGCGTCGGCTCTTTTTTCAGAACAATCAAGGTAGCTACAATTGGTCCTGCGAAGTCAACAGGAGGCCCCAAGTCCATCAAAGACAGCAAACCCGACTCGCCAGTTGCTGGAGTGGACCGGGACAGAGAACCGGAACAAGAGGAACTTCAGTTCAAAGAAGTCGAGATCAAAGTGTGGAATGACACTGTCGCCAACTTAACTCTCATGGCTCTCGGCTCCTCGGCTCCCGAGATCCTTCTCGCCATCATCGAGACCATCGGCAACGGGTTCGAAGCGGGGGAACTTGGACCCGCGACAATTGTCGGCAGCGCCGCCTTCAATCTTCACGTCATAACCGGAGTATGTATCTCTTCGATTCCGAACGGCGAGAAGAAAACGATCAAAGAAGGTGGAGTCTTTGTTTGTACAGCTGTAATATCTCTGCTCGCTTATTTCTGGTTGTACGTCATTTTGGGGCCGATCTCGAAGAACGTTGTGGACGTTTGGGAAGCGGTGCTAACATTGTGTTTTTTCCCGATACTTGTGATTTTGGCTTACCTGGTGGACAAAAATTTTTTCTGCCTCGGAGGCAAAAAGAAGTCAAAAATTGGAGTTATGGACGATGAAGATGACTCACCAATTGCAGCAGGTATCTTATCACTAATAACTTTTTCTTAACTTTAATTAGCTCATAACACAATGTCAATATAATTATGTAAGTTTGTCCTTGTTTACAGGCAAAGGTAAGTTACGTCATGCAAGAGTATCAAACAAAATTTGGTTTATTTTTGGATCAATTTTTTGTTTTTAGTATTGTTTTTTTTTAAATATTTTCTGTTTGTGTAAATTTTGACGTTTATTTCAGGTGTACTCTCCATTTTCAGTAAGTTGAGTGTGTGAGAGTTTGTAAATATAGTCTTGCTTTGCAATAAAACCGTTTTTTTTACCTGAATCTGATTTATCTATTGCTAAATAAAGTTTCAGTGTTTATGTTCTATTCTAGCCTTGTTTCTCAATTCTAGCTGTGTTTCTGGTTCTGAAACTGTTTTTATACCATGGGTGGTTTACTAAACCAAAACTTTCACTCATTGACTGATAATTGAAGAAAAAATTGAAGAAAATAACCGAAACTTCAAAAAATAATTTAATTGAAATTGCAGATTGCATATTGAGTTTTCTTCAAGATAAAAGGTCATTAAATCAGTTTTTTGTCCAAAAATGCTTGAGAAAATAAGCACCTATTGAACAACGCAAATGCGCCCGTGCTTAAAATTGGATAAAAAAAATGAAAATTCAAGTGTTTTACTTGAAAACGCAAGTAGAGACTCGGGGCCCATTTTTCACGAGACCTCGCGAAAACACGTGAACGTTTTTAATAATGTTATAGTGCAAACATTTCACACCTATTTCAGCCGACGGTCTCTACCTGTCGATGCCTGCCAATCACCACCTGGGCAAACGGATGTCTGTGGACAAAGCCAAAGTAGCCCAAGTCATGAAGTCAGTCGAAGGTAAGCAGGTTCCGATTAGGGGAGCGGTGGCGAAGTGGGTACGTCTTTTCCTCTCAATCCAAAGGTCGGATGTTCGACGCCCACCATGATCCGTAATCGTTGCTTGAAGTTAAAGTAACATCACCCAGTCCAGAAAAATAGTCAAAAAATTATGCATTTCTTAAGCAGGGGCACAACAGAAGAGCAGAAGAGCTTATATACTAATACTTTCCTATGTGAATAAGCCATCTTCACTTAACTAAGACTCCCACTTGATGTTTTCGGCTCTTTTCTATTAGTTCCCAATAAAAAAAATGAAGCAAAAGATTATTAATAACATTGTTCGCTGATTTTTGCTGCTCATGTTTTTGCCTAATTTCCTAATTTTCTATTTGAACCGTAGTTTGAGCCCTTATGATTGTATTTTGCTTGTGGATTAAGGAAACATGCTCTATTTTTCAGATACAGTAGCGGATTTAGGGGGGGGGGGAAGCTGCTTTTTCAGGGATTCAACTCCATCGCCACCCAAAGTGTCCTCCCTTTGGTACTGTTCTGTGACCTCAATTTTTGGCTGACAACCCTAAAGTTTTTCTAAAGGCGCCACTATATACAAATTTTAGGAAGGAACGCGCGCCAAAAAACGAGATTCTTCGGACCTTCCAAAAATGCCTAAAAACGTCTTTTTAGGCGTGGTTTTTTTTCAAAAATCTGGCTGAAGCGCAGAAAATTTGGCTGGAATAGGGGGGTATTATAGTGAATTTGAAAAGCTTGGAAAAGTCAAATTGGTTGACCTAAAAATCCCCCCTTAAAAATCCGCCCCCTTGAGAAAATTCTAGGTTCGCCCCTGCTCAGATATATATAACCCTAAATAACAAATTCGAATGTTGAAAAAAGAAAAAGAGTCTGCGCAAAACTTCACGGATTATCGGGTTCGACCATTGAAATGAGTTGCTCTGAAGAAGTGCTTCTCGCTATACTAAAAAGTTAAGTACTAAAAAATAATTTAGTTCAGTCCAAAAAATCCAAGAAAAAAATTGATTTTTTTGTAAACGCGCCCCTCATGCCTCGGCAAACATCAAAGTTTAAAAGGAAGCGGTTTCAACAATCCACTAGCATTTTTCGCAGAATCTCATATTAAGGAAGTTAAGGATAGGCCAACGTTTTTTTGAGCCCCTGGCGTGTAGTGATACTAGGGGCGGATTTAGGAGGAGAGGGGTAGACGCCACTTTTACCCCCCCCCCCTTCAACCTTGCCTCCTAACTATACATTTATACCCCCCTCAGGGATTAGACTCCCTCATCACTCAAAGGTTCCCCCTCTTTGGTACTCTTTTGTGACATCCATTTTTGGCCGACGAACCCGTAAACATTTTTTTTGGGGTGCTAAAAATATATATTTATTTTAAGAGGAAAGCGTGCTAAAAATACACAAACTTTTTTGCCAAACTTTTCCAAATAGTGCCAAAAACGGCACTTAGTGGAAGAGCAATTAAATGGTTACAAAGACTGTGGCCTTGAATTAAGGATCTACCATTAAGAATTTTTTTGATAGTACTTCAAATCGGTCAAATCGGTAAAGTATTTTATTTGAATGCGTTTGGCTTGTAGTCTGGCCTGTTAAACGAATTTTTTCAATGAATTTTTTCAACCCAGGTAGTTATAAGCTTTCATAAAAAAAACATTTGCATTTTCAAGCTTTTGATAAGTTCGTTTGTTCTTTACACAAGCGGGCGAAGTGTATTTTTATGACTCTTTTTTCCAACCTAACTTGCAAACAAAAAGCTCATTTCGTGGCACTTTTGCTATAATCACGGTCTCTAGCACAAGAAATTTCGTTTCATCTGTTCTCGGCTTTATTTTTCGCTAGAGAGGGAAGGACGTGATACTTCAAGCCCCGACGTCGCTGGTTCAAAACCTACACTTGGCAATAACTTAACTAATTTGAGGTTTATTTCGTCTTTTTCTTATTTTTATTTATAAAGCTGCTTTTTGTCTTTTTCTTGCTAGTATTTGTGAAGCGCAGCTTTGCATTTGTGCGATTACAACATGATGAAGTTAGATTTATCTGAAGTTAAGTTATGATGAAAATAGGTTCAAAAAAATGGCCTTTCAATTTTTGAAATTCGTAAAAGTTTTTGGTTTTAAAATTTTGCTTGGATGTTTTGTCTAAATTGACTTGAATCTTTAATTGAAATCAAGTTTTTCGATCAAATTTTGCTGATACCATGTTTTTGTTGGCACGACTGAAATTGTGTTGGAACTAACGATTGAAACGACTTTAATGTTTTTAAATACAGTTTTCAATGGGATATTGTTTTGTGAACAGTTAGATGACAATAAGATGTGAATTTAAACTTATGTGAAAAACAATTTACTCTATTTCGCCGGTAAATCCTATCTTTTTAAAAAATGAATTCAAGAAATTATTGTTTCAATTGCTTCACGAAGTGTAAAGACACTTAGGCGTAAGATGTGTTGTTTCCATTGCATTTTAACTAGGTCAAAGGAAGTCCATGTATGATCAAATGTTAGAACCGTTTCAGCTGTGCTTTGACTTTGGATGTTTAAAAAAAATTGACAGCAAAAAAAATGTCGGAGGCCAGTTTTATTGAAATAAACTTTTGGAATCACGACCATTAGGGCTTTATATGATACCGCACTTGACTCTCTCCAAGTTTTCTAATCAGATGGAAAAGAAACGGGGATGGTTCCTTTCCATTCTGTCAGGAGTGGTCGGAACAACAAGGGTACCGGTAGCTGTTAAATCAGGCCGAATCTTCCGACCACAGTGGTCAAGCCAATAGTTACAATAGTTAAAAAAGTAAAAAAAAACTGAAATTCAGAGGTTAGTTTTCCCCACTTTTTTTGGAATAATAATCAGTATGTTTTCAAAACAGAGAACGGAAATTACACTTCAAAAAAATGAAGTCTCATTTGTTTTTGACCGAAGACACAAATTAATCGGCTCTGCGCTCAATTTGTGTCCGAGTAGCCAGAAACAGAGATATATTTACTCTACAATGCAAAAGTTTCTTAAAATTTAAATTTGAATCAAAACCAGCAAGATTTTGACGTAATATCACACTTGAAACCACACGAAATATTTTGCGGTAATAAAATTGGGCGAAAAAACCCACCCTGCACCATAAATCCTTCCGGTTTCGTCATGACGAGTTGGGAATGAAAATGAGGTTTTTTTTAGTTTCATACACACTGCTTTTTTGGCCCTGTTCCTTCAGTCTAATTGATGACCTCATTCTAATCAAGAATGGCGGTTTTTTTTGTTTTACGGCCCAAAAATTGAAGAAAAAAAATTGATATACTCAAATTTGAATTGAAAGTTCAGTTTTTCTCTGGTTGTAACTGATTTCAACCAATCGAATTTCGTTATCACGAAACAGTTTTCAAGTTCTTTAACAAATCATCTTTGGCCGTAAAGACCTAGATTGCATGTGTTTGGTAGAACTTTCTAATTCAGGCAGTCTCCTAGTGTACTTGGAATGCAAATCTAGCACAAGCATCTGCTCTCTCGATTCGGAATTCAAATCTTGCATGTAACAAATTTGCGCTCCCTTAACCTAGTGGAAATTTCACTGATGATTTATGATATAGGCAACTTGCACAAGCACCTGGATTTGCAAATGTCTACACTTTTTTGGAAGTAATCTTTTATGTTAGGACTTATTAGCGGTAAAAAAATATCAGAATGCAAAACTACATTTTCCAAACATTAAATTTTGTCTACTTGTTTTCAAAATTTTTTTAAAACGATGTATATATTTTTAGGAACAGCATGCATTCGAAATTCAGACAATTCCCGCCAAAAGTATGGTGACCTTTCAGCCAGAGACAATTAAGTCAATAGTAGTGACCACCGCAGTCGCGCTAACGTGTTGCAAGCTTGCCAATAGAGGTCAGGACTCTATACAAAATTCAGATCCGGTTATCGCCGCGAAGCGGCAACGCGCGCAGCGCGCCCACTGGCCACCTTAAGTCAAGAAATAACTCCAATTCCGATTTTTTCTTTCGAATCTACCGTTTTGTAAAACTGGCTGAATTATCTCAGGCTGAATTGTCTGTATACTTTTGGCTTAATTGTCTGAATTTCCAACTAGCTGAACTGTCTTTAGCCGAATGGTCTGTGCGCCGTTTCATTCGCCTAAGATGAAAAATATTCCAACAATCGTTTGAGATTTTCCTGACTATCTGTTAGATAGTTACGTAGCTGTAAATAGACAACCGCATATTCAAACTCGTCAAAAAGTAAACAAATACTATATTAAACAACAAGACTGCTCGTATCAGGGCGAAACCCTGAGTGTTCTGACTGCCTTTTAAGATTTATGCCTTTTAAGGTAACATTAAAAAAATTATATGTATTAAAATAAAATGAAAAAAAAAGTTTCTAAAATTTAAATTTTTAATGAAATCATCCCTCCACACGCCAAATAAAGTACGTAAGAATAGATTTCGCTCATTTTAAACAAATCAATTATTGCAAATAAGCTTCTTTCAACCAATTTGGAACGATTTCTAAGACGGATTAAATATCCGCTTACTCGTTAATAGCGCGAAATATATCGCGCGTTAATTGTCCCAAATTGGCCAAAATGGCAATCTTTAAACCCCCATAACTATACGAAAAATGATCACATGTAAACTATTTTTTGAAATTTAAGCTCAGGACAACAATACCTTTCGGATGATATAAAAAAATGGCTAAAAAAATATTTCGGTAGAATAAGGAACAATAAGAACTAGCAGAAACTACAAAAAGCACTGACCAAGCCAAAAACAGTTTAAATAATTTCTGTAAATTTTTAATTTAAAATGCTAATTCTTGCTGATTTCTTGCAAATGGAATGCAAACCTGCAAGAACTTTGCAAAATCTTTGCAAATGTTGCAATAAAAAGTAAGATTATTTTATTTTCTTATTAGAGTAACTAGAAGAAGTCTTAGCGGATCTGATACGCATTCTAGATCATATGAAAGTAAACGACATTGTCATTCTAAAATGGCATGTTTGAAACTCATGGTTTTGGTCCCTTCATTAGAAAATTGTGAACAGTAGTTCAAAAAAACAGCACTCCCCATTTATAAAAATGAATATAAATTTTATAACATTTTTTTGCAAGTGATTCAAAAGAGGACATTTTGTCGGAAACAAAAAAGTTCATCATAAACTCAAATGAACAGAAGGTCCTTATTCACTAGTTCTCGGTCAAAAACTTCAGAAGCTCAAATATGTCAGTTTTTAGCTCAATTGAAAGACTATCGACATTTGTTTTAGCATTTGAATTTCAAGTTTTTAAATATGATTTCAAAAAAAGACCATTCGCTCCCAGCTTCCATTTTTGGGTTCTTTTTCAATAAGTAGATCTCACCCTTTGAAATGCGCGGAACCAATTTTTAAAAAGAGACGAAGAAGACTATTAAGGAATGTTTAGAAGATCAACCATCTTCCTGGGGATAAGCTGTGCTTTCCGTTTTAAATCGAAGGAAAGTTCTTATGCTAAGACAATTAAGTAAATTTGGCCAGTAGCAGGTGCATTCTTAATGGATTATTAATCGTCTTGAAATATGGTACAACAGCAAAAAAAAAACCATAACAGGAAGGAAAACAAAATCGCTCCTTCTTCGAGTTTCAGTTGCGCTGGTTTTAACTATCCTGCTTCAGATTCATGAAAAAGTACATCTGTTTGAACTAGTTTTTCAAAACAAACAAAAAATTGATTTTTCAAAAGCCAAAAAGTGTCCAAATTATGATGTTCAATTTTTATCACAAAAATGTATGATGTTCAATTCTCAGAAGATGACATAAATTTTGAAAAGCTATCTTTCATGAGAACAAATGCAAGCTTAGGAGCGGGGATGTTGGGTTGAGCGATAAACAGTAGCGATGACCAAAACAAAACTATAAGAATAAGAGATAACAATCAGTTCGACCCGTTAATTGAGTGCTCAAGTTTTCATTTAAGCTTCATCTAGACTTTTCTTTATTTAGACAAAAATATCAGCCCCGAAGATGCGGCAGCTCTAGTCGCCCAAAAAATACACGAAGAACGCCCACACAGCCGCGCCTACCATCGTGCGTCGCGACGCAGCATGCGCTCGACTCACTCTCTTGCTTCCAAAATGAGTTCGGCCTCCATCGGCCGAGACATCGGCGGAGACCAACACGGATCCGACGACGTCCGAGTGAAGCCCGACAACACATCGAGTCGGAAATGTGTCGTCGAGTTCACAGCTAACACTGTCTCGGTTTACGAAGGCGAGAAGAAAGCGCGAATCGGGGTGAAAAGAGTCGGGAATGTTTCGGCACGAGTGTCGGTCAAATACGAGACGTGCAACGGGACAGCTGAGGCGGGAACTGACTTTGTCGCCCAAAAGGATTTTCTGATATTCGAACCACAAGAGAAGCTTAAGTTAGTTGACACCACGTTTGAAAATTTTCCAGCTGCTGTTGATTTTTTCCGTTACAACGTTATCTGTAATTTGAATTTAGTTTTGCAATTATTTTGATTAGAAACTCTGAAGTAAAATTTTGGTGTTTATTTGTACTATTTTGTTCTTCAGTTCAAGGGCGGATTTAGGGGGGGGGGGTGGATTTTGGCCAAAACAGGGACTTTTTAGTGCTTTGGAAGAGCTCTGAAAAACAAGTTGGTCGACCTAAGAAAAAGGTCGACAAAATTTCGAAAATTTTTTGAAAACCGCCCCCTTGAGGAAATCCTAGATACGCCCCTGCTTTTAGCTATCAGTTAATTTTTAATTTTTACTATGAATTTATTTTGTGTTCGTAAGTAATTTTTTAATATTCCTCAGAAAATTTTAATTTTTCGCATGTAATTTATTTGCATCTACTTTTGTGACATTTCTATAAGCAACATTTTTAGTATCAGTAAGTTTTTGATGCTTCCTCGTGCAGCTATTTGGTGTGCCTCACTGAAACTTTGGTGTTCTGCACAGGTACATAGAAATCGACTTAATCGACGACAGTCTAGAAGAGGACGACGAGACATTCTTCGTGAAACTATCTCTGGACAAACAACTCAGCAAGGGATCCAACAACAACAACAACAACAGTAAAGAGAGGAACGAGAGCGGAAGTGCTGTCATGGAACATGCCACATCCTCCCCGCCCAAAGTGCAAATTGGAAGCAATGCCATATGTACGGTCGTGCTCATGAACGACGACGGTGAGATAAACTACTTAAATAAGTGGCGTTGTGGCGTATCCAGTAGTGATAGTGCCTAGAAACTCAATGAACATTGACTGTAAGCGCATACGCGTCATAACATAGTGCATGTGTTTTCGAAGATTTCATTTATTCGTGCGAAGTTGCACATATTGGTTTGTCGGCCGATAAACTCAAATTAAACCTAAATAAGTTGAAAATAGGAGAACTACTAAAATATGACCATGATTGAAAAAATCGAAGCATAATTTGAGCTCCTTTTCTATTGTATGTTCCATACTCGTTAACGTTGCATGAAAGTGAGTTAATATTTTCGATGAAAATTTAGTGTCATAATTTATTCTTGATCTTAATTTTTAAGGCTTTCAATGAAAAAGATATCAATGAATGCTCATTTCTGAGCAAAAAATGTACAGTGTAATTTCAACGGTTTTAATTTTCGTTTTTCTAAATTTTTGTTTTCAAATTTAGTGAAGAACTAATTTTAATCATATCAGTTGATTAAACTTTATGCTTAGTAGCATAGGAGGAATTAAATTGCCTTCCATTAAAAGCAAAACCACCTTAGTCTCATAAAATGCCATATTATCAATAATATACTATTGCGCTAAGCTTTCTTACCTCTTTTTTGTTGCTTTAGAACCAGGTCAGTTCGAATTTGAGAGACCCAGTTTCCTTGTGAAAGAAAGCGTCGGCACAGCTCGCATCCCCGTCAAACGACAGGGGGGCACGGATGGTGCTTGCAGTGTACAATGGCGCGCAATTTTCGTATCCTCCGGGCCCGGGGGAGGGGGCGACAACAATTGGGGCGGACCCGAGGAGGGCAAATTGAACTTCCAACACGGAGAGGCCTCTGGGTGTATTGAGTTAAACATAGTTGATACAAGTAAGGAAAGAGCGATGTCCGAGGCAGCGGCGGGGGAGGGGGACTTGTCGAGGGGGACTTCCCTGATGAGTGAACAGGGGGCGGGGGACAAAAGTGTCCAACTGGTGCTGACAGAGGCAACTAATGGGGCTAAGATTGGGAAGAGGAAAAGTGCAGTTGTAACTCTGGTACCAGATGACGGTAAGCTTATACACTCTATTTGAAGTCTTTTTTTGTCTTACAGCACTTATGTTTTATACTTGTCCCGGCTTACTTGACCCGGTTTTTAGTAATATCTTTAAATTTTTTCAACTTTGTATGCAGTCATATTATATTGAATACTTTTAAAGCTGTCACAATGATTGAAGATTTTTTCACAATAAATCAAATTAACAAAAAAAAATCACTGTTTCATTAAAACTAATAAATCTTTGCTATTGTCAAAAACTTACATAATCATATTATTCAAAAAGTCACCACTGACAAACATTACATTATAGTTACTAATGATAATTACTTTTCTAGAATACGCAGGCGTACTTGACCGCATCACTAATTTGGCCAACATTGACCTGCAGAAGCTGAACTTTGCCTTCCGCTCGTGGGGGGAACAAATTCACGAGGCCATGAATGTCAACGGCGGGGAGTTCAACGACGCTCACTGGACCGACTATATCTTCCACGCATTCACATTCCTCTGGAAAGTCACATTCGCATTGCTAGTCCCCCCTCCTAAATACCTAGGGGGGTGGCTGACGTTTGTGGTGTCCCTGACTATGATTGGACTCCTAACAGCGGTTGTCGGAGACTTGGCGGCTATTTTTGGATGTTTGCTGGGTCTGAAAGACCTGGTTACTGCAATTACGTTTGTGGCACTAGGTACTTCACTGCCGGATTTGTTTGCGAGTAAACAAGCGGCGGCTACTGACAAACACGCCGACAACGCTGTCGGAAATGTTACCGGTAGATTCTTCTTTCATAAAATTTTGTACCAAATTATCAACTTAAGATACTGTTAAAATGTTAGAATAGGATAAGATGAAAAATTAAACTAAGGCTAAAATACAAATTTGACAAACTGTCTTGACACTGTTTGAATGCTTGATTTGATTTTTTGCAGATAACGAAGCCATAAAGTTGAGCACTTAAATGAGTTGAACAGAAGTCAGCAGTGACCATTTTGTAAGAATAATGCAACAAAAATCACACAAAAGCGGGGGCGGATTTGGGGGGACGCCCATTCTATTTAGGGATTCGACCCCCTGCCGACCCAGAGCCTCCCCTCCCTTGTACTATTTTGAAATATCCATTTGAAGGACCCTAAAACTTTTCCAAAGGCGCCTTTGGCGCCTATATATACTAATTTTTGAGGGGGGAACGCGCGCCGAAAACGCAATTTTTTTTTGGTCAAAATTTTCCAAAAAGTGCCATTAAAACGCCTTTTTTGGCCTGTTTTTTCAAATTTTGCCTGTGGCGCAGAAAATTTGGTCAAAACAGGGACTTTCTAGTGCTTTGTGAGAGCTCGAAAAATCAATTTGGTCGACCTATAAAAAAGGTCGACAAAAGTTTCGAAAACTTTTTGAAAATCCGCTCCCCTCCCCCTCGAGAAAGTCCTAGATCCGCCCCTGCACAAAAACGTGCGGATCGGATCCATTAGAATCCAATTCAGGCAAACTTCAACTACGATATAGATTTATCATTCCGGATATTTTTCCTTGATGCAAGAAATTCCTAAGTCGGTTTTTCCGACGATTAAAATCTACAATGCATTCCTGATTATTGATTTTTGATATCAATGTTTTAAACATCTGTTCGTTTTTCGAAAACTTTTTACTTCGCATATTTTTTTCTACGTAATTTCTTCTGAACTGTTTCAGGGAGTAACTCAGTGAACGTGTTTCTGGGTCTGGGTCTCCCCTGGACTATGGCTTCCATATACTGGGCATCCAAGGTAACCATTATAATTCAATACGTCAAATTTTAACATCATCAACATCACGTGATAACTTCTGCTTGGTAAACTTTTTTTGATTTTTTCTTCGATCAGAAAACGCCATCGGAAAAACCATAATTTTGGTTCAATCGTCGTAACTTCGCCTATTACGCTAAATCAACTGCCTCGTGACTGTTGCCCTTATTAAGAATATTTGAAGCCTCTCGATTGATATCAACTTGAAATCAAGCTTTGTTTTGGAAATTTGTTTTTTTTTTCGTAAATTACTCAGAAAACTTTTCGTTCAATTGTTGGTTTTTTTTGTCAATTGTTGGAAACAGTAGCGGATTTAGGGGGGGGGGGGGGGGGGACCCCCTCCCACCCTTCAGGGATTCGACCCCCTGCCGACCCAAAGGGTCCCATCCTTTGTACTATTTTTAGATATCTATTATTGGTGAGGTACCCTAAAATTTTTCTTAGGGCGCCTTTGACGCCAATAAACATTAATTTTTGAGGGGGGAGCTCGAGCCGATAAAACGCGATTTTTTGGTGAAAGTTTTCTAAAAAGTGGCTAAAAACGACTTTTGTTAGCGGCGCAGAAAATTTGACCGAAACAGGGTCTTTTTAATGCTTTGGGAGAGCTCGGAAAAAAAATCAATTTGGTCGACCTAAAAAAAAAAAAAGGTCGACAAATTTTCGAAACTTTTTTGAAAATCCACCCCCCCCCTCGAGAAAAACCTAGATCCGCCCCTGGTTGGAAGCATGTTTTTGGCTTCAATATCAAGTGTCTCTGTGTCACTTGAGTGTGTGTTCCAGGGGGAGAAGTTTATCGTGATCTCGGGTTCCTTCTCGTACTCTGTCGTGCTCTACTCGGGCACAGCAGTCGTGTCCCTCTTCATCCTCGGCCTCCGTCGCTTCCTGCCTGTCTTCGGAAATGCGGAACTGGGCGGACCCACTTTGCCCAAGTACATCTCATCTAGTGTCATGCTAATACTCTGGTTCCTCTATATCATCTTCTCCGCTCTAGAGAGCTACAATTACATAGACGGATTTTAAAAGGGGATGAAAAAATCAACAAGACAAGTTTATGCTAACAAAGCGTTTATTTAGTTTGAGCCGCTTATCAGTTTTCGCCACAATATTCAAAAATTCAGGGTAAAAAACTTCATTTTCGAAATTTCAAATTGGAAAAAGTCAAATTGAAAATCAACAAAATTCAGCTTGATAAATTAGAATTTGGGCTGAAAAATCTCAACTCTAAAATTGCAAAATAAAAATTAAAATTAGAAATTCATGAAAAATTGCTAAATTGGGCCGCTATTTTGTTCCATTTTTTGTCAATGAGAGCCTGATAAAAGATTCGGTACTATATTTTTTCAAGCACATGTATGACAAAATGTATAAAAAATGAGAACATTGTCTTGTTGGGTCAGACAGCCTCTGTTTACAAACAACAATCGGATGCCTAAACGGGCATAATTTTGACGAGCAGTTTGATGAGTTTTGGATTGAGTTTTGAAATGAATAAATATAATAATTTGTGGTTGAATTTGCATTTATAGATTAAATCACATCGACCTATATTTTTAAAATTGACAAGTTTACATTCCTGTTATGAAAAAATTTGAAAATAATTTAGCTACGATGCGAATATATGTGATTCGAACTCCCCATTATACGACAGAAACTTCTCGACACTGGAAAGTAAAGACAGCCTAAGCTGCTTGTCTCACTCTGTATTCGGTAGCCAACTTCCGTGTTACACGATAGATAGTTTCTGCGAAGATAAACGCTTGACATGTAGCTACCGCGTGGTGGCTGTAATTGAAGGTATGCCTTGTAAGATACGTGGAGTAGTGTTCGCTTTCAAAAAAATTCTTCAAAAAAATTCCAAGAAAAAAATCAAAAACAATTTTGAGATTTTTTAAAAATCATCCCCACTCCTCTATAAAAAGAACGCTATTTTTTTCATATAGCAAAGTATTAAATAGACGAAATAGCATGCCTGAATTCAATTTGGAACGATTTTTAACTCGGATTTTATCTGCGCTCATGCATTAGTAGCACAAAAGATATCGCGCGATAATTGTCCCAATTGACCAATTTGGCAATCTTTAATTGTCCCAATTGAACATTTTTTTTCTCCAAAAAATGATCACAAGTGAATTATCTTGAGCTAAATTTGAGCTGAAGACAACAATATCTTTTAATTGTTATGAAAAACGAATTTTTTTTTATTTATTTTATTCGAAAGTCGAAATAACAAGACTGCTATTTCAAGACAAAACCCTGAATGATACGAGTGCCAATTAAAGTCAATGAAATTAATGAAAATTAAAAAGCAAAAAATATACTTTTTTCTAGTTTTTCATTAAGTCCTGAGCCCGCACGCTTTTTAGCCCGCACGCTTTGTAGTACAAAGATATATCTGTTGAGTCTGGGTAGCACCTTGATATAACTAAATCGCTAGAACGTTTTTCAATAACTTAACAAGCGGCCCAGGACTTAATAGCACAAAAAGTATTGCGTGTTAACTCTTCAATTAATGATATTTTTAAATAAGATCTCTTTAAAGAGTGATCTTGATAAAAATGATCTCTTTAGTTAAGATGTTAGGAATTAGTATCATTCAAATGATACAAAAAATGTCATAAGCGGCTGGATAAATATTTTAAGTTAGTTTGAAGGCAAAAAACCAACCCGAGCCAGAGCAAATTATCATAAAATGGAAACAAGATTTTTTTCTAGAATTTTGGCATATTCGACGGTCATAATAAAATAGGCAAACTGTGAAAAAAAAAACAGAAACCTTTTAAATTTGGAAACAAAATTTGAAGATTTATAATTTTCAAAGTGGCTCAAAAAAACCGCAAAAGATAATTTTACTCGTGTGAAATCAAATTTCCATGGCTTTAACTAACTATATATCAGCTATTTTAAGCATAATGTCTCGCCTTATTTGCTCTAATTTAGACGGAAATGGAAAATTTGCGTGGAAAACAAAAAAAGCAAAGAATAGAAAAAAAAACGAAAACACCCGAATACAAAATTCCTCCCCAATTTCAATAACCAGAACAATGCGCGGAAGTTTTCCAATTTTTTAAATTGCGCCTATATCATTAATAAACATTTGTCGTCTGAATTTTTGTTTATAGGCAACCATGGTAGGAGCCGAAATATCTGAAACTCTTGCTTTTTGCCCAATTCATAACTTCGGCACCGGAATTCAATGGATAAAACTTAACTAAATTTGAGTTTCAATGTTAGCATTTTTAAAAGGGAAAAAGAATCAATCATATTTAGTTTAAAAAGAATTACATTGATACTAATACATAGACGGAGCGTAGTGCCTAATTTTGTCAGCCACTTTTTTTAAATCGCAAAAAAGTGTCTAGGAAAATGGCACTTTTTCATCTTGTTTATTCCTGTATGTCATTATAATTACGTAGCTGGTTTATTATGCCTATTTTTTTTTAAAATAGGTAGTTTGAAAAGGTATGAAATTTGTTTCTTGTTTTATTTTACTTTTTTTTCAGAAAAGTTTGCTCTTTTCACAAAACTTTAATTTTTCTCGAGAACTATCCTTTCGATATGATAAGCCAATCAAACCCACAAATTAATCATGCACCACCATGACGCAAGCTACTTCAAATTAGGTGGTGGGAAAGAAATACACAGTTACTTCCCATTGCAGTTTGGTACAAATGACAAAATACAAAAATGTCAGCACAGTTGTTTGAATTGGGTTACGGAACAAAAAAATTCTAGTTAATTTTTTTGACATTTTTTAACATTCACCCAGAATTTAAGTCATAATTTTATTTGCTCTATTATTAAATTTTTTGGTCCTATCTTCGAATTACTTGACGGAAAACCCAGGAAAAAGAACGAACAAATGGAACAAACATCAAAAAACTTTCAAATTTCCAATATTTTATGAGTGATGAATGATTTTGATCGCACTGGAAAAAAAATTGTTGAAATTGCAAAAAAATCTCGAAATTGATTGCAAAATTGCGTACAATTTTGTAAAAAATAAATAAAATGATACTTTGCCGTTTTGATGACAAAAAACAGGTCTTAGGGGAAGTTTATCCAAAAATACTACCAACATGAAAGACACCAATGCTGAAATGTTAAAACTTACCCTTACAACTTATCAATCAGTTGGACGAAAAGAGGTAACTATTGGAGGTTTCCAGCTCTGATCTTGCTGTTACAAAAAAGTGTTGGGGATGGTATCATAAGTAAATGGCGTTCATTCCGTGGTTTTTCGTGGGCTAAGAGATCGAAGGATAGAATCAAAATAAAGAATATCACTTTGACTGATCAATTCGTTCTGTGTATTTCTCCATTAGGTTTACTTTGAAAACTAATTTTCCAATTTTTTTAAACTTTGCTAAGATTCCAAAATCAATATCAATTTTATTCATTTTTGTTTTACTTTCTTCACTTTTAGGTGTATAAAAAGCATATCTGCATTATATTGTTAATGTGGTCTCAAAATAAAGAAGATATTTTACCCGCAACTAAATTTTGTAATTTTATAATGTTCAAAACTGGCAAATAGGACAACTTGCCAATAAGGCCAATTTTAATCAGAGACCTAGTTTTTTCTAAGCTTAATTTGAAATCTACCACAACATTAATAGCGCGTGGCCCGTTCCTTACACTTTTTGAGCTTTAAGGAATCGTACAGTTATGCGGACTATTTTTACTATTAGGGTTTTGTTTCTTATTGTCTGGTTGTTATAAAACATGACATGCAATTTTTGCTGGAGTTCTGTTTTACCAACTTTTAATTTGAATCTCAAATCCATGACGCAGATTTCTTCCTGTTAGGTGGTGGCAAAATTATTACAAAGTTACTTCCGACTGCAGTTCGGTACAAATGAAAAATAACATTTCTAAGCACGGATGTTCGAATTTGGTTACGCAACATTAAAATTCTTGTTTCGACTTTTTTTATTCCCGCAGACTCCGAAATCAAAATCATTTTTGTTCAATTTAATTTTACTTTCTCTCCTTTTTTAAGTGTATAAAAAATATCCGAACTAAATTGATAATGTGGGCTCAAAATCAGAAAGATATATTACCTGAAACTAGCTTTTCAATTGTTAAGATGTTTAAAACGGCAATTTCGTCAACTTACGAACCAGGCCAATTTCAGGCCAAAATTTAAAATATAAGTTCAGTTGCGGTCTAATTAGATTTTCTTGTTTCTATCGTCAAAAACTCTTTGTTTTTCAAGTAAATTTATTATTTGAATCTTAAAAACAAAAAATCAACACTCTGAAGTTTGGAGGCTAAAATTCCTTGCAGCAGTCAGTAGCAGAATCGTTTTAAAGTCAGATTGCATATATTGCTCCCAAATTGATTGGGAACAGTTGAAACGCGTGATAAGACCTGAAAACGTTTTCTTCAATTTTCCAACCATTCGAATGTAGAGGAATATTGTAACCTGGTTTGTTTTTTTTCCATGCAAAATCAAGTACCACAAATAAATTTTGGATTATTTCGATTGATATGTCATAATAAAGCCCTTTCAGTCGTGATTTGAACAACTTTGAAAAATTTTGAAAATTTTTTCTCAGAGTTGAGAAACACTGGTTTGAAGTTTTTCACTTTTGGTCTAATTTTGAGCTGATGAGTTGAGCAGCGCACAGGCTTACAAAAGCCTATTTTAAATTTTTAATGTTTTTAAGACTATGGTCAGAGAGCATTTTCTGCTTCTTGTACAGTAGCCAGCTCTCCTTTTTTAAACATATGTCATCTCTTATTTAGCGTATATATTTTTTTCCAAGTTGATAAAATGAAAAAACGATTTTGTTTGTCTTTGAGTTTTGAAAAACCGATGAAACAACTAACAAAAAGCCTTGCACAGAAAACGCAGAATTTTTTTTTGGACTTTATGGCTTGTATGGAATCAATCGATTTTTTTTTCTGTTCCTAATGAGCGGAAAAAATTGGTTTTGGCAATTCGTTTTGGAGTTAGTGCAGGCTGGGAGAGGGAATTTTGTGGGAGAGGCTGGGAATGAGGAAAAGGCCGCAAAATAAAATTTTGCATTTCGGGAAAATACTGTAAGCAAAGAGGGAAATGTTTATATGTGTTCA